AATTAAGGAATAAAAAAGCAAATTTCTTAATTGGTTAAGTGGCTTGCTAGTAACAAGATTTTATAGGAGTTTTTTTCTTTTTTCTTTTTATTTTGTATTGGAGTATAGTTGATTAACAGTATAGTATAGTTGTGTTAGTTTCAGGTGTACAACAGAGTGATTCAGTTATGCATATACGTGTATCTGTTTTTTTTTTCAAACTCTTTTCCCATTTAGGTTGTTACAGAATATTGAGCAGAGTTCCCTGCATCACAGAGTAGGTCCTTCTTGGTTATCCATTTTAAATATAGGATGAGTACATGTCAATCCGAAACTCCCTCACCCTTACCCCCTGGTAACCGTAAGTTTGTTCTCTCAGTCTGTGAGTCTGTTTCTGTTTTGTAAATAAGTTCATTTGCATCAGTTTTTTTTTAGATTCCGTTTATAAGTGATATCATATGATATTTGTCTTTCTCTGTCTGACTTACTTCACTCAGTATGACAATCTCTAGGTCCATCCATGTTGCTGCACATGGCATTATTTCATTCTTTTTTATGGCTGAGTACTATTCCGTTGTATACATGTACCACATCTTCTTTATCCATTCCTCTGTCGATGGACATTTAGGCTGTTTCCATGTCTTGGTGATTGTAAACAGTGCTGCAATGAACATTGGGGTGCATGTATCCTTTCAGACCATGTTTTTCTCTGGATATATGCCCAGGAGTGGGATTGCTGGATCACATGGTAGGTGGGATGTAAATTGGTGCAGCCACTGTGGAGAACAGTATGGAGGTTCCTTAAAAAAGTAAAATTAGAGCTACCATAGGAGTCTTCTTTCTGACTGTATGGAAGTATCCATCAGATATACAAAGTCAGAGAAACAAATGATAAAACAGATTAACCTATCTTTTTCCTCCCTGAATCTGCCAGTGCAACAATAAGCCTTTGGCGGTATCCTATACTGACCTGGTATGCCGGCTAAACTAATTGTGACTATCCTGTGGTCCCAGCTGGAGGACAGTAGCCTCACTTCGTTGTACTGCCTTCATTCCCTTTCAGATAGCTGTAGAGATTACTCTATTGCTCACTGTCGCCAGCTGGATGCCAGTAGTTGCTGTAGGGCTGGGGAACTATGCCAAAGGGAACTCATTCATGTGTGTGACATTTACGTTAACTGAGTGGGCTTTCAGATCGGTCATCTAAACCTTTAATGTTATTTATAAGCTACAGTATTAAACTCGTCCACACAACCCACATGAAAAAAATATATATCAGAAAAAGAGGTTTTTTTAAGTTGGTCTTCCTTCATGAAAATATGTTCAGAGGGTAAGAGCCCATGTTTAATTCTTTTTCTTTGCATAAGATTTTTCTTTTTCTTTGCATAAGATTCACTGAGGCGTCCAGTCTTCCTGTTCTCCGTGTTAAGTTAGAAATTTAACTGCTTAAGTTGTCATTAAAAAGAAAGTGGACAAAGTTTCCAGATATTTATGAGTCAGCAAATGAACAAACTAGAATTTATAAAGAAATGCATCATTACATTTTTCACAATAGCTTTCATCTAGCTGTAAACGCAGTCCATGCGTACAGTGGAAATTTTGAAAAAAAAAAAGATAATAAATAAGAGATAAATAAAAAGAGATAAATAATAAATAAGAGTTAAAAAAAGATATTTAATATTCACTCTTGATTTCACTAGCTAGTGTTATAGCTCCTCAACATTTTGGAGTGTTTCTTCCAAATCTTTTTCTATGCAAATATAATACATATATGCTTTAAAATGGTCAAATTCATATTTTGTATGTGTAGTTTTTCAACCTGCTTTTTGCATTTAACATTTTATTGTGGTTATTTCTCACACCGTGATTTGTATTAGTTTTAATGGCTGCCCAATTACTTTTTAAAAGTCTTCCCCGCAGTTTGGGACTTAGAGACTGCTCTGACGTCATGCTACTAAGGCAAATATACTTCTGTAGACATCTGTGCATGTAACTCTTAGTTTGCATTTTTGGTTATTTCCTTGGCAGCATCCATGCTCTCTTGGGGCTAAAGCAGAAACAAAGCCCAGGCTCCCCGTCCTAGGACAGAATTGATCCATTTCAGCCCTGTTAAATTCCTCATGATCCTTTTCTGCTAAAGGAAAGACAAGTCATGTTCACATCCCTCTTTACCCACAACCTGTCCTCACAAAAACAACATTACCAAAGTGGACCATGGTGCTTGGCCCAAAACATATTTTTCTTTCTTTGGGCGTGGAAGATAAGCCAAGATGGCAACTTGCCCAAAAGTGATCCAAGAACCTTTTGTAGGGAAAGTTTTGTTCGATAGGACCTGAGAGGATGTTTTAAAATAAAAGTTTTATTAAGGCGAAATGTGTTCCTGGGTTAGAAAGATAAGGTTTCTTCTCACATGCCTGGACTAGCTCCTTCCAACATGTTTGCTAGTTCTCCTGTAGACACACAACTTCAGTGACCTGAGAAAGACTTTACACCCTGAAAAGAAAGATAAAGGAAACTCAAGAACATGAACTCCTTTATCACAGAGATGCACAGAGATGCTCACACCATTCTTCATTGTCAACTGTAGAACCCTTTGTTCCTCTTTCAAAAGTGTCTTTGTGTTTCTTGGAATGAGCTGGCTCTCTCTCTCCCAGCTGTCGGAAATGCAAGAGAACTTCATGGAAAGCAAGAGTGTATATTGTTCCCGAAAAGGTTAGAGGTGAGCTCCCGTCACATGGTCACTGTCACCATCTGCTCTCGCCGCAGACATTTTTGCAGGGATGGGACCACAAGTGTTTCTCGTACAGGTATTGAAGTTCCTGTTCCCAGAAAAGCAGGGCCTGGCATCTTGGGAGGACCTTTCCTCTTGTGGCTCTGCCCTGACTGATTTACTATGTGACTTTGAAAACGTTTTATGAGGGCTTGTTCTGGAAAAGATGATGACAGCTTGTAAAGATACAAATACCATAATAAGTAAACATAAGTTATAAAGGACAAGAAAAACCAAGAAGCAAAGGAAAACAGGGATAGATACTAATAATGAGCTGGAGATTAGGTTAATATGCAAATATGTACTGTTGTACATTTAATAACTTTTTACTGAGTGTCTAGTATTTGCCAGGAACTCTGAAACACATTTTTCAAACTTAGTTGCAACACGTTAATGGTCCGTGAAATCATTTAAGTGAGTAACCACCGTTTTTAACGGAATGGGATGTGAAGGGCTAGAATAGAATACAATAGAAAATATCAGAGGTCATTGCACAAAGTAAGGATATTATTTACAAAAATATAACTGTACGCTGGGTCATGATACAAAGTGTATTTCTTACTGTAGCCGTAGTAAAAAGAAAATTTGAAAACCACTGACATGTGGGTATGCACAAATTTAGGGCTGAGTTTTCTAGAAGCCAATGGGAATAGGGAAACGTTATTACCGTTTTTGCTGCTCATTTCCTACAAGTATGCAGAAGGAAAAAATTATTTTTGCTATCCTTCACAAAGAGAAAAAATGAATAACATACTAAATAACCTCCTTACAGAAAACCCTGGTAATTTAAGGCTATTTCTTTCAGCCTCCCCTCTTCCTCCCCCCCATATAAATAACAGCATCACTCTACACTCTACAAGATGTCTGAAATTTACCCTGATGTGTACTTTAGGTCCTATCACGCTCCTTACCATGTATGTCAATGTTCTTATGAATGCTAAGTAGGAAACGGGTGATATTTCTTAAAGTTTTGTAAACAAAGTTATTTTTTGAAGCAAAATGTAGATACATTCCATTAAAACATACAGTAAAATGCATACATCGGTTGTAGTAAAAATGATGGTTACTTACTAAGGTGGTTCCAGGGACCATTAATGTGTTGCAACTAAGTATATAAGTCATTAGCATACAGCTTGATACATTTTCACAAATTATAAACACCCATGTAACCACCATTTAGATCATGAAATGGAACAATTGACAGGAAGGAGAAACTCTCCAACTTCCCCCCTTCAGTCTCTATTCCAAAAGACTGAACTTTCCTGAGTTCTAAAACTACAGATTAATTTTGCTTTGTTTCGAACTTTACGTAAAGGGCTCATGTAGAATATATTCCTGTGTCTGACTTACTTTGCTCAATATTATGTGAGACATTCCATCAGTTGTGATTTATATATTTCATTGTGGGCATATATCCGTTGGTGAATAGTTTGTTTTCAGCTTTGGCTATGATGAGAAGTGCAGCTATGGACATTTTTGTACAGGTCTTTTGGTGAACATGTGTACACATTTCTGTTGAGTTTGAGGATGAAATTGCTGGTATATATATATATATATATAAATTCAGCATGAAGAGATATTATAGTGTCTCAGGGCATGATCATACATGTGCATCCTTGGGCCTGGTGAAAATCTACCTGGAGATTCACCAGTGTTTCAGTAACTAGTACAAGCACACACGTGTCCTTTTCAATTCCTTTGTCTTATTTTTATTTTGGAAAATTTGGAAAATATAGGTAAGTATACAGAATAAAATTTAAATCACAATAACCCAGCCACCCAAAGATGACCACTTTCAGCAATTAATTGTATACCCTTTGAGCCCTTTGCCATTATAGATAACACTACGTGAACATCTTTTTCACTGAGGCTTTGTATATATATATATCCATAATCATTTATTTAAGATAAATTCTGGGAAGAAGAAATGCTGAATAAAGGACGTGGGAAACCTCAGGCTTTGATACACTCACTAATGTTTTACTAGTTGGATGAGTAGGGGTGTGGGGAAGGGCACACAGAAAGCAGATGAATGTCAAAGAAGCCACAGGTAAGAAAGAATATACTAGCACCAGAGGACTGGCAAGAAAGCCTCCAAAGATTCTCTGCTATGAGGATTCTGTAGTACCTGTTCATTTTTTTTTTTCTTTTAGAAAGAGGAAATAGTTTTTAATTCTTTAAGAAATAGCTTTCTTTTGGTAGGTACCACTGAATTTGGAGCTATATAGCCTTTTACTGTTTGTTTTTACAGTTATCTGTGTTGCTCCAATTCCAATTGTGTGCACTCGGTCAAAAGAATCATTGCAAAGTTCTCTCTGGTCTGTAATCAGACGAACAGCCTCAACGCCCGATTCTGCTGTTGCTCCGTCGTGAGTAGTGGTTTCCCTGCCGTGCTTTGTTTGCAGATCCCCCGGAGGTGGTTCTCCAGAGGGATGAATGGCATCTTTGTTCAAAGGGGCCAGGAGAGAGAATCATCTAATTCTACCAAAGACAGGAGACAGTAAACCGATCCTGCGTTTCCATTGCTCTTGGAAAAAGAACAGTAAATGACAGCAAAATTGAATAACGAGATACTTGCACGGTATAAATGACCCAGCGGAAGAGATGTGATGAGAAGGAGGGTGAGGATTTGATCTCTGCCTTTCAGTTTTCAGTCATTGTCAACCACGAAGTACAAAAATTGGCTCAGCAAAACTTAGTTTCATCCAGGATACTAGACGGAGAGCCAAGAGATTTTTTTCTCTGCTAAGTTGCCCAGGATTAATTTTTTGTGGATATGTTTACATTGGTGAATAAAGTCAGAGCACTTTATTTTGCTACGGTTGTGCTTTTCAAACTGTGGGTTGGGTCCTATTCGTGGGTAATGAAATCAATTTCACAGGTTATTACTAACTTTTCTTTAATGAAATAGTATATAAAAAAGAATAGAATAGCATAGTGTTGAATGGAATAGAAAATATCCAAGTACATCACATAAGCAAGAATACTATCTTATGGGACTTATATTTTAGTTAGCTATACATACACACATCTAAATATATGGGCATGTGTGTTATAGATTAAAACAAACTTCTCATTATGGGTCATGGTCAAATAATGACTGCTAGGAATTTTTTACATTAGAGATTTTTTTTCTTCTCTTTTTTCTGGGAATATTTTTGTATATACACAATTTTCCAAAAGTTGTTTCTTTGGAATTGAACAGATCAAACTTTGGGGTTTGGGGTTGAGGGGACCAGGAAACATCTTCATGTTAATATAGACAACAGTTACCTTCTTGTTGATCCAAAGTACAAGTAGAAAAAAGCCTGGCTTTTCTGAATCTGTCTTTATTATGGTCCTATATAGAAGGCAACTCTAATAATGACACCTCTTTTCCAATGTCAGATGGAAAACACCCAAGGTTAGAAAACTGTCATGGTGGCATTCAAGTACCAACCCAAGGGTCAACATATTAATACTCTGAGAAAAGGATGGCTCATGGTAACACGATATACCTACTCGCCGGTGATTGGAGTTAAGACTTTACCAAACAATGAAGTCCCTGATTATGATGACATGTGCTGATTTTAAACATTTACTATGATCATTCAATAATAGAGTAAATTTTCATGTATGCAAAACTTTTCCCCCTAATTCAGCTTCATTCAGATCTGTATTTAATTGCCTTGAGTTAACATTAAGCGGACTCACAAACTTGGGTAAGATCTAGAAGGTGGCCCAATTGTATGTAAGTTTCCCATGTGTGGGAAATACGCATTTAAGTGTGTGTATACAGATCATACGAGTATATAATACCTTATGCTAAGTGATCCATTCACTGGTACTTCATCCTTATGAAACCAAAGAACGGTCAATACAATAAATAAAAACAGTCACTCTAGAAAGCAGTCACTCTAGTGGCTGCCTGAGGAGCTGTTTCAGAGGGGTGTGGAGATTGGGTTTGGACTCAGCAGTAAGGAAAGATTGTGTTTGATTAGTAATATCTGTGATGACATGGAAAGGGGACAGTGGTGATATACGTGCCATGTGTTTATCTTGGAACTTTTCAGTTGAGTGACTCTTTACGGTATCTTGGATACGTGAGTTGCTTCCTCCATTTCATAGGGGAAAGAAAGGAATAGCAGATGGAGGTGGCCCAGAATTAAACCTTTTATTTATTTTTTTCTGTACCCTTTTTTAAAAATCGAGGTATAGTTGATTTGCAATATTATGTCAGTTTCAGGTGTACAACACAGTGATTCAATATTTGTATACATTGTACTTCATTTACAGAATTAAAGCTTTTCGTATCTCTTGATCTTGTTTCATTTCTGTTCATATTTATCTAGATTATTTTAGATAGTGTCTTACAAATGTTCGTGTCTGTTTACCCCTTTCCATTCCCATTGCCACGGTTACATTTTTGATCCTCATTAAAATGATTAGTAGAGGAGCTCTCTAGATGACTGTCCTGCTTCTAGCGTTCACAGTGTTGGATGGGGTCAAGCGTCACGGGCTCCACTGAAAACCATGTGAAAGCTCTGTCCCATCTCTCAGAAAACTGAACACTTGCACAGACTCCTGCCAATGTGTTCAGGAGGGTCGTGAGCTCTGTGAGGTCTACGCTTAATTACAGATGCCTAGTCTGGTTCTCTCCCTCCCATCTACCCCTCACGTGTTTATCAGAGTAATGTTTCTAACACACGCTTTGGATCATATTACTATCTTCTCAGAACCGATTCATTTCCCGTTGCCTTCAGGACAGAAAGAAGTCCAATCTGCTTAGATGGGTCTCCAAACTCTTTTTTTTTACCAAAATATATTTGGCGTATTACATTGTGGAATGTCTGTAACATGTTACACTGGCACATTTATATATAGTAAGATAATTGCCATTTGTAGGGACAATTAGCACCTCTGTTACGTCACATAGTTTTCTTTTCAGGGGCCCCAACTCTTTCAAGCTCTCACCTTTGTAGCCTCCTTGCCCCCCTCCTCTCCCCTGCACCTTCCTCCCAAATACACAACCTCTAAACCTAACCAGAACACTTGGTCTTTCCCTCCATGGTTCCTGCACTTTGCTCCCACGGGTGCTGCTACCTGAATATCCTTTCCCACCTCTTCAGGCCCTTTCTGACCTTCAAGCCCAGTGTCTGTTCTCACCCTCCTTTATTTCTGCGGACAGAGCTCTCAGCGCCGATGAGTGCCTTGTGGTGTCCTGCCCGTCATGGTGAGGTGTGTGCCTCTTTGCCCTCAGATCCCTTGCTCGCCCTTCCCTGGTGTGACTGACCTGACGGGGGAGATAAGAAGGATAACAAGCCTAGGGAATTGTGGGGTTTTTTGCTAGACTTTATGTGTTTACTCTCTTTATATTATATAATAACCTGCAAGAAAGTAACTGAGAAGGCTGGCTAGCAAAGGCAAATGAAAGGTGGAAGGCATATGAGATGCAAATTATTGGAGTTTGAAGTTACAAGTCAAAAAAACCCAAACCCCCCCCCCCAAAACAGGGCTGTCCAGGTTCCTGAGTCTGGGGTCAGCCTTGGAAGGCCCTGAGGGAAGAGGGAAGCCGGGTGTTCCTTTCTCACACTCAGACCATCTCTCTGATGGCAGATCGTCTCCTCTGGGGCTTCAGCTCCTACTAGGGAGGGCTTCTGAGCTGTCAGCTCCTGCGGGGTGGCCCTGTCCCCTGGGCTCCAGCACCGACACTTCTATGCTTTGTTCCTGTTGCTCAGGGACTTTCTGCAATGACTGAGTTCCTGGAGGGCTGCTGCTTCCCCGTTTGCCTTCACGTCTTTCCTTCTGTGTGATCAGTTCCCTGCATTATAGCCCTTCTGTTGAAATCCTTACGCTACTTTATATTTTCCTAGTTGAACCTTGACTGAAACAGCTGGCATTTGGTGGATAGCTGATGAGTCTGATTGCCTAAATTTTAAACTGTCTTCTATGGGGACATCTGTTTTTTGAGAGAGCCAGGGGTAGGTCCTATATCGGTTATATCTAGTACACAACAACATTTTGTACAGTTACCTGGGAAAGTAACCCATTACCTCAAAACTCAATGGTTTGAAACACTTGGCATTCATAGGTTCACGAGTCTGAGGGTTGGCTACTGGCTGGTCCTTTGAGTTCCGGCTGGGCCCACTCGTGCATCTGTGGTCAGCTGGGTGGTTCTGTGTATCTTGCCTGGGTGCTGTCCTATGTGTGGGGCTTGGCTGCTCTGGGCGGATCTAGGATGGCCTCGGCTGAGGCGTGAGTCAACACCACTCTGTGTTTCTCAGCCATGACAGGCTAGCCCAGGCATGTTCTCATGGCAGTTACAGAGGAGCAAAGCAAACACATAAACATAACAAGAACTTTTTCAAACCTCTAGATGGAACATACCTGCTAACATTCCATTGGCCAAAGCAAGTCACCTGAGCAAAGCCAAAATCAAAGGGGGCAGGCATATCGGCTGAACCTCTTTAGTAAGAGGAACTGCAAAGTTACGTGACAAAGGGTAGGGACAGGGAGGGCTGAAGATGTGACCGTGAACGCAACGCAGTCAGTCTATATCAGGCTCCACAGGTTTGATGAGAGAGCCGAGACCAAAGAAGTAGAGAGATAGGTGACATTAATGTATCGCCATAATAGTAACCCCTTTTAAATGAAAACTTTGCAATAAAATACACGTTGTGTATTCGCTATCTTGTTCTGTAGAGTTCATTTGTACATAGTTACAGACTGAAGAACAGAGGCCAAGTAAAGAGCCATTTATAACTAACATATTAATAAACCAAGCTAAAGGGACTTTATTTATCCTTTAACCTTCAATTTGCATTAATTGGGAGCAGTCGTGGGAAATGGGGCCAACCTTACCTCAGGTCACATGGCTTAACAAAATGAACTGTTTCATACCCAGAAATAAATGCCTTCCAAATATAAATATGAATCAGTTACAAAACAGAATATTTTGAGTACAAAATAACCACACTGTTAATATATTTATGTCCCAATTAAAAATGTGTAAGGAACACACATTCTGGGCTAAAGTTGTCCCAGGGAGTGATGCTCATTTTTGCTTTGAATCTTGTGTAAACAAACAGGGCAGCCTCCTTTGAGCCATGAGCAAATCCACGGCTCCCTGTTTTCTAAAGAGAAGAAGAATTTAAAATGGGAATGTTTAAGTTGGGAAAGGTCTGGGGCTTGACCTTGCTGCTTTAAATTTCATTCCTTCCTCCATGACTAGGAAATCACTTTGAGTTTGTCTTCTTGGAGAACTCTAATTTGGTTTGTTCTTGGTTTGAGCCACACCATGAAAGAGATGCTGTCTGTCTGTATTATAGCAAAACTTGGAAGCCACTTCAGTGGCACTGTTTTCCAGTTGTCTTCTCTGCTGTTTTAATCTTTACACCTGAGCGTGCTCTCAGTAATTCACAATGAAGCCCATGACATCCTACTGCCTGAGCGAGAATCCCAGTTAGCTTTATCTCACTGGCTTTGGGCATAATTTTAAATCTTTCTCCGACTCTGAACAATGGGGTTTCCTCATCTGAACAGTGGGGTTATTAATAATACCTACCTCATCTGATCATTGTGAGGATTAAATTAAGTGAAATTAGGTGAGAGAATTAGCATAACCCAACCCACAAAATGTGCTTAAGAAGTGGTATATATTAAACTGCTTATTGTTACTAATTATTATGTGAGAATGTTTAGGTTGTTGTCACTGAGTCAGATTCATGTATATTCTTCAAAGTATGAATCAGAATTATACCTTCAAAAAATAAGTTGAGGTTCAATATTGTTTACATATAAGGCACTGTTTGTTTTTAGGTATTAGTGTCAAGGGTAGCGGTGCATATCTATTCACATTTAAAACCACAACATTTACAAACACAAGCTTCTTTCTGGCTTGTCAATTTAGCCTTTGAGAACGCTTTTAGAAAATGCTTCTTTTTTTTTTTTTTTTTGCGGTATGTGGGCCTCTCACTGTCGTGGTCTCTCCTGTTGCGGAGCACAGGCTCCGGACGCGCAGGCTCAGCGGCCATGGCTTACGGGCCCAGCCGCGCCACAGCACGTGGGATCTTCCCAGACCGGGGCATGAACCCGTGTCCCCTGCATCGGCAGGCAGACTCTCAACCACTGCACCACAAGGGAAGCCCGTTTTTTGTTCTTTTTTTAATTGAAGTATAGTTGATTTACTATGTTGTGTTAGTTTCTGGTGTACAGCAAAGTGATTCAGTTATATTTTTTCATATTTTTTTCATTATAGGTTATTACAAGATATTGAATATAGTTCCCTGTGCTATACATTAGGACCTTGTTGTTTATTTGTATATAGTAGTGTGTATCTGTTAATCCCAAACTCTTAATTTATCCCTCCCCCTCCCCACCCTTCCCCCTTTGGTAACGGTAAGTTTGTTTTCTATGTTTCTACGTCTGTGAGTCTGTTTTGTACATATGCTCCTTAAATATATTGGTCTTCAGCCTTAAAATATTAAAGCTTCCAATGTTCTTGCAAACAGTACAGTGATACTGACAACTTGGGTTTTCAATATTTACGACAAAAGCAAGAGGAGAGAGACTTTGAAGGAAACAAATACAACCTCAAAGTCTTCCTTAATGTTGTCTGAAAAGGGAGGAAGATTAATAATAAGCAGATCAATTTTTAACAAATATGTTTCACCTTTCAATACACTGACTGTCCACTCTGCATGGAACCATAGTAGAGAAGACAGAGCAGCATCTCGAGAAGCTCAGAGTGGAGCTGCAGAGAAAATTTGCACACGCACACGTACATATGCGCACACACACACGTAACCAGCACACAGTTTAATGGTATGACAGGTGCCTTCATGGTGTTAGGTGGAAAGGCGGTGACTGATCCGAGACTTAGTGCGGGCAGCATGGTCAGTTCACATACATGATGTTGAGAGTCCAAGTGTGGAACGATAGATACACATATGTAGGTTCATATCATATAGGTGAATGAAAAACACACAAGCACTGTTCATTGTCCTGGATACTCATCTTGTATGTAAGTGTTTTAAAAAAATGTACTGGCAAGATACAAATTCATGGTCTGGCCTTGGAATGGGTTGTCAAGGAGATTATACCTATGCTCTATTTTATTTTAAAAAAAAAAAGAAAAGAGGGGCTTCCCTGGTGGCGCGGTGGTTAAGAATCCGCCTGCCAATGCAGGGGGCACGGGTTCGAGGCCTGGTCCGAGAAGACCCCACATGCCACGGAGCAACTAAGCCCATGCGCCACAACTACTGAGCCTGTGCTCTAGAGCCCGCGAGCCACAACTACTGAAGCCTGTGTGCCACAACTACTGAAGCCTGCGCGCCTAGAGCCCGTGCTCTGCAACAAGAGAAGCCACCACAATGAGAAGCCTGCGCCCCGCAACAAAGAGTAGCCCCCGCCCACTGCAACTAGAGAAAGCCTGCGTGCAGCAGCGAAGACCCAGTGCAGCCAAAAATTAAATAAATGAATAAATAAATAAATTTATAAAAAAAAAAAAGAGCAGATGGGACAAAATGTTGTCAATGGTCCATTCTGGGCAGAGGGGACCCAGACATTTGTCCTGCCAACCTGTGCTTCCCTATGATCTCTAAGTTTCCCACAAGAACAACTACAACTGTGGGCCCACAGCCATGGAAAAAGCAGCCCCTCGCTTGCTGGGCAGACAGACACTTGGAGACGTCGTCTGCCGTAGGAACAGATGCCCTGGTTTCTCCTTCATCTGTTTACACCTGGGGGAAGAGTCCCCAACATCACCGCACGTGACACCATCTAGACAGCCCCGTAGCTTCCTCTCGGGTCCCCCATCCTGACGTCTCACAGGGGCACAGCCCCGGCTGAGATTTGCTGGGACCTATCCTGGGAACCATCCTCTGACACCCAGCTGGACCCTTTTTAGCACAAAAGTTCTAAATTGTTAGATTCACATTTGCCTTTTAGTCCTCTTCCGAGGCTGGGAATCCAAAACCCCGGAGTCCTGTGCAGAAAAGTAGGTTCTTGGGATCCACAAACATTGTCTCATGCCTATAATGTGTTATTACAATCCTTGTGTTAAAGTCCCTTTCTCTGAAACCAGCTCCCCTTTGGAATGAGATTTTATCTAAGTCTGTTTGCATGTATTCAAAATCAGAGACAGCTCTGAAACCAGACCCCATTTAAACATAGAAGAGCAGTGGTGAATTGAGCAAATGTTGGGGGAGTTTTAAAAAAAACACACACACATCTATTTATCTTCTTGTGTTTCCTTTTTTCCAGATCTGCGTTTTCCCTCCCATTGGCCGTCCTGCGTGGGTACCAAGTTCCACACGGGATTTCATGGATTGTCAGGTCAGATGTTGGGCTTGACTTGGCTGTTTGCAGATTCGTGATTTTATGATCGCCGCTTTTCAGCATTATGGGAAGGATCTTCTGGTTTATGGCATTGCTGCGGTTGTTATTTAAGACGGTTTTGAACTCTGTAGGTGTTCAGGAGGAATATACAGCATTCGATGGGTTAAAAACAAACATAATGGAGAGAAGGACGCTTCAAATTCATTTGGGGGGAAAAGGAGTAATAATTGGACAGAGAGAGAAAGGAGCCCATTTTTCATTTGTTATGTGGAAAAATGCTTGATGGAGGACCACAGTCCTCTCCAATCTCTCTTTTCCTTGAGCGCTAAAGAAAGCAAAAGGATCAGCTCACCCTTGGTCAGAGCAAGTCAGGTAGGGCACGTGCACCTGTGCAGGGAAGACCCCCTTCCATTACTGACAAGCCCATACAACTTCCCTCCAGTCCCCAGATGTTTGGAAATATCAGGCAGCCTGTTCAGTTTGGAACACTAGGATGTCATTTGGAGCCCAGTTTGTTTACATTATTATAACAACAGTTGCAGTTTGTCTCTGCAGTTAGGGTTGTGTCAGCACTTTCCTTTCTGTGTTTATTATTTTTAGCAGTTTAAAAGCTAACCAGGAAAAATGGCTTTCTGGCGGCGAGGTGACATTCCGGCTGGGCCAGGGTCTGTGGCGTCTATAGATGCACTGGCTGGCTGTGGAGTCGGGCCTTTTGAATGCTGCCTTTGTGCTTCCATCGCCAGGGCCTCTGGCCTATTGTCCAGCCGCCTCAGTTGAGGTGGCACTATCTGATTGTAACCGGTACTAATATTACAGTGTTCGGTGCCCAGACCCTCCCCAGGGGCCCCAGTCTGGCGGCCTCTGTCTCCCAGCTCTCTCTCCAGGGGACCAATCCCAGCTCTCATATCAGAAACGCTATTTGTAATTTATAGAAGGTTCCAGGGAAAAGGATCAGTAAGGATCGGCTAGCCCTGCAGTTCTCTAACTTTTTTATTTTTTTTTTACAAAGAACCCTTTACCCAAATGCAATCTTCCAGTGAAACGCAATTTGTAAGACCTGGAAAAGTACAGCTGTTCTCTTTGAAGGAGAGAACCCCAGTTTTCAGCCTCCACTCCACCCACCCCCAATCAAGGTAGCTTCTCAGGTCCCCTCCCCCAACAAAGAAACCTACAACTCCTCAGAATACTTGCACACTGTTTTCACAGGGCGAGCCCCTCAATTTACAGAGAAGGAAACTAAGAGGTGATTTTATAGATGCTTAAAACATGAGACATTAGGCACTAAAAAAGTACACTGCATTCATCCATTTTTATTTAGTTCTAAAAAAGGCACAGCTAATCTACCGTAATAGCAATCAAAATAGTGGTTACTCTGGGGAGAGACCAGATTGACTGGGCAGGGACACAGGGAATTTTTCTGGGGTGATGCAAATGTATGTCTTAGAAGTGTGGGTTACATGGCATTTGTCATAACTCGTCTCCTTTTTCCTATACATAAATTATACCTCTGTTAAAAAATAAAAAGAAGGAAAATAAAGCAAAAAAAAATTAGCTGTTTTGTGAATGAAAATACTGAGAGCTTCCTGAAATACTGAAAATACCGATGGTCTTTCTTAAAGCTATGTGCACTCTTTATTGAGTGGAATCTGTGGTCATTATGCAAAGCTGCAGAAGACAAGAGACCATGCTGCTTTTCCAATTATTGAACTTTCTTTGTTCAATAGTTACCAAAACCAGAAAAAAAAAAATCTCAGAAAATTTCAGACAACAGAACCCCTGAATACCTTCTGGGGTCTTCTAGCCAGTAATGCAGCTAAAGGATGATGTATGGGATTCCTGGCGGTGGAAATCCCGAGTACAATACTTGATTCATGCATTACTTTGACATGTACTGTTGGTAATGCTCAGGAAATTGTTCATAATTTTTTAACCTTTGCTCCTTCATCTGAATGCTTTTTCGGGACCTGTGAAATACAAGATTGCTTTTTCTATACCTTATCAGAGTTGAACTTCTGGTGACAGGTTGGAATTCAGGCCTTTAGTGACACCTCTATCCTTGCAATAAATCATCTGGACCCTTTAAAAATGACTTTTCTCCCCCGGAAATACTTGGAGCCAAGCCTACTAGAATTCTTCTATTTGTGTGTTTTAGAAGTCCGGCAGTAACATGGAAGGTCATTATTTGGGTTGAAATGCTGCTAAGGCCCTAAGCCTGGGAAGATAGGACCCTGTGGCCAACTTGCCCTTTAGAGCCTCATGAGGAGAGTGGGCTGAGAAGAACAAGGAGAATGCTTTTGAAAAGGAAGTGATGATAGTGTTGGGGGATAGTAAGAGAGGGCAAGTGAGGGTCTCGTGAAGCAAGGGCAGAAAGGATTTAAAGATATCGTTGTCCCTCCGTATCTGGGGGGAGTAGTTCCAGGACCCCACATAGACCAAATGCTCAAGGCCCTCAAGGGCATAAAACGGTGTAGTACAGTCAGCCCTCCTTATCCGTGGGTTCTGCGTCCACGGATTCAACCAACCCCGGATTGTACCCGAATGTTCCAGCCTCTGAGGCTGTATGACTTTTCTTCAAGAAGAACAAACTGCTACTTTAGTGATTTCCCAACAAAGGGCCAAGATCTCTTTCATTCACAAAATGGATCCACATGACCAAAAATTTAGTTCACTAATGAAGCAATGGCAAAACAGAATCATTTGTAAAAGGAACATTTTTTTTTAAACCCACACATAGTGCACTCTGCCTGCACGGACACACAAATGTCCTCCTCAAATCAGATTTAATTCAGCAAGGTTTATATCCAACCAATTTAGTTTAATGTGCATAAGAGCAGAAGTGAAATTGCACGGTGGAAGAGTTTGAACAGAATTTGCTTTTTTGCAATTCAATGCCCATTTGAAAGGAATTGTTTCTTCAAGTCATTTATTGAGTCAACTTATCCAAATGGCAAGTACCAAGAAGAATTGTAGGACTTCTCCATTCCAGGGACTTGGAGCAAGTGATTCTCCCGGGCCCAATGTTCTTGAAATGTACGTGTGTGTGTATGTGTGTGTGCATTCATCTACAGGTCAAGGAGCGTTTGGAAAATGCAATGTGTGTGTAGTCAGATTTCAGTTATTTGTGAGAATGAGAGTAAAACATGAATAACTGAAGTCCAATCAATGGATATATTTTCCTGTTGACTTTTAAAAATTAGCAACCTGGGCGTTTTTAACCCCTGAACTGCTTATGAGGTCTGTGAACAAGTGGGAGTATATCCTGATTTGAGTTTTATCTCCTTCTTTCTCCCTCAACTATGTTTTCTATTGGTGCTAGTGGGCTAATAACAACTAAAACACTGGATGAAAGAAAAATAGCAAACCCCTTAATGTGCATATTATTATTATTCTCAATTTCCAGACAAGGAAACTGAGGGTAAAGGTTGAGGAGCAATGCCTGAAGATTTTGCTGTCATAGTGGCAGGGTTGGGCTTGAACTCAGATCTTTCTGTCTGTGAGCCGCTGTCTTAGGAAGAGAAGCAGTGGATTGAAACTAATCATCATATTACACTGGCTGGAGCAGAAATATACCTAAATTTGTGGAGAGAATAAACTACTATTTTGGGCCTGCCCATAGCAGGAAATCTTAATAACAGTGACAAACACACAAAATTTTATTTTTTCTCCAGGGCTATTGGGGGTGGTTCTCTTATCATCAGGGACTCAGGTATGTTCTATCTTTCTGTATTTCTATTCTTAAGCATATGACTTTATCTTCAAGGTTCCTTCCTAGGTCAAGATGACTGCTGGAGCTCCAGCCCTCACACATAAATTCTAGGCAGCAGGAAAGATGGGAAGAAGGGGGCAAAGGCACCCATTTCCAGCTGGCTTTCCTCTCTAGGAGGGCTTCCCTGAATTCCCACTTCACGGCTTCTGCCTACAATCTCACGTACCGACTCCTGGTTGCAAAAGAGTCTAGAAAATGTAGTGGGTACTTTGCATCCAGAGGTGAGGTGAGATTTGGTTGTAAAGGAATAGAATGAAGGCACCTAGCAGATTGGTCACAATCAGACAGCTATTAAAGGCTTTTCAATTTTGGAGAGGCATGATCAGGATGGTGCTTTAGAGGAACTGATCTTGTAGCCAACTGGTTGATGGAACTGATCTTGTAGCCAACTGGTTGATGGGGGAAAAGTGAAGGACTCCAATCTGTAGTGATGAGTTTTGTATTACTGAGGTGGCACTGGGGACAAGAGAGATCAATGTGATCCAATTTGTGAAGAATGCATTGACCAAGGAGAATGTATTCATTAATTAGCTGTGCAATTCAAAACTAGGTTTCAACAGACACACACACACGTTTGTGAGGTGTGTGTATGTGTATAAAAATACATAGTATATACATATTCATATACACGTATGTATATGTGTATGAATGTGTATGTGTATATGTGAGTAAATATATATACATACACATATATATATGAATGGAAACCAGGGAAAGGCATTTAGCTAAACTTCTAGGAAACAGGATCCAGATAAACAAAACAGTCTCGTGCTGTTTTCATATGCAGAAAATTGGCTGGAAATTTAATGATGCGGTCTATTGACAATAGATAAATAATGCATAAACAAATATATGCAGGCATACACACAACACAAACAACATAAAACTTTTCTAGGGCTCCATACCACCAACTGCAATAATTTTTAAACTTTGGCATCACTAAACAAAGAAAAGGGAAAAATTAAAAGGAGCTAAATTATAAACTTTTAAAGGAATAAGAGGTGAAGGCATTGTAAACATAACTAAGAAGTTATCCTGAGAAGCCAAGGTAGAGGAAGTAGGAAAGTCAGGGTGGAAAGAAAAAAAACCAGTTTTTCTTTCCCTCTTCTCTCTCTCTTTCTCCCTTCCTTTCTTTCTTCCTCCCTCCCTCCCTCTCTCTCTCCCTCCTTTCTTCTTTCCTTCCTTTCTCCCTTCCTTCCTTTCCTTCCTCCCTTCCCTACTTCCTTTCCTA